GCTCCTAGCTAARAGCTCCTCATCATTTGGGACTATGTCTTTCTGCCTACACTGCTGCAAAGATGCAAATTCTGTAACATTACTGACCTAACGAGAGGGGAAATGTGCACTTGCAACCTKCAACAGCTTAATCAGTGTAATTCTCCTGTCCAGTCAGCGACAGCTTTTTTGAATTGGGCTACCAGTCACAAGTGGAAGAATTTTTGACAGATTTCAGACAGTAATGCACTTAGGCAATCATGTTCAGGAGAATTTAAAAAAAAACAAACCAAAAACAAACCCAAGAATTGTAATTCTAAAACTGACAGTGTAGAGGAGCAGAAGTTGCACAAGAAAATAATGGTCTTTTCTTTGTTGGGCCAAGTACAACTGCTGTTCTCTGATAATGGCAAAAGCTTGTTGCTTTAGAAGGCTGTACCTCTGCTCCCCAATAATAACCTTGCTAATTGTATAGTGTTGTATACAGTGGAAAGATTTTTCCTGACCCCGCAGGGAACAAGTGCTGTGAAGCATGAGATTTGATTAGCCTTATTATCTTAGCTTGCCCAGTTACCAATGTTGTAAGCTGCCATGAAATTATCCACCCYTTTTAAAAATAAAGCCATACTATTTGTCTTCATTATCTCCTTCTATGGAGTTGAATTCCACATACAAACCAAACAGACCTCAGTGATGAAAATAGCACAGGAATTACACATGTAGCCTTTTAACTCTATAGGTACTGTTCTCTTTTATTCTTTCATACCACCTTTCCATGTAAATCAACATTCTCCTAAATATTTTGGGTTTGATCACCCAGTCCTGAAAGAAATTTGGTTTTATTTTACCGTCAATATTTGTAATCATCTATATGATCTTTTAATGAGTTTCTCTGAGATGGTTTGGAAAATGGCGTAATTTCTTAGAAATTTTGTTGTAGTTACCAGGTCTTTTTAAAAATGTTCAATGATGTCTTGCATACAGAAATAAAATCAAACTGTACACCAAAAATAAATTAAAATGCTACTAATAATGATARTTAAAAATCCCCTAGCTCATTTCTTTGGCATGAAGAACTTGGTAAAAAATATCTTGGATGGTATGTCAATGGATACACAAAAAAGTTATCATCGTAAAGCCTCCAAGTAGTGATAAACGCAGCAAAGAAACTGACMCTTTATTGTCTTAAGTTTTTCAAGTAAAGAAGGCAGCATATTTTAGGAGTTATCAAGTAAAGAAATAGTCTAAAGTTCCATTTGTCTTAAGACTGATCATAATAAATGATTATCCAAATTAGACATTGGTTAACGAAAGTGCGCAGAACACAGGACTTGCTGAGTATGCCAGAAATCAGCTTAAAACCTCCTTAAAAAAAAAATAGCATCTCAAAGTCCTTCATTCAACACCAGCCTGCCACAATGAAAAGGGTAATTAACGCAAAGAAGAACCTCGTCTGTAGGTACAATTGTTCATTTTGTCATTAAAATCGTCATCAGAACAGTGACTGAGAATTCAGAATTCAGACCAGAGTTCTGCAGAGAATAAGACAAAGATAATTTCAGCATAGTTGACACCAGCCAGTAGATAATTTCTGTAGTATTGTGGCTGTGTTGGTGGTAATTACAGGTTTTATTTTCCACGTGTACATCCGGAACTATAACGGGACTAMAAACCACATCCTCCTTTCCACATTCTGTGTTCTGGAATGTCTGCTCCTCTAACTCCTCAAATATCAGGATAGGAGCCCTAACAAAACCAGAARACCCTGGAGAAAGACCTCTACCTTTTACTTGTAGCATCAGCAGGGAACTGTCACATCAGCCACCTTGGTTCCTGCAGCTTTACGAAAAGGAGCGGAAGACATCATAGTAAAAGTGCTTGAGTGAGATCTGTATCATCAAAGGCAGAGTTCAAAGCTCCGTAGAGTCATAAACTCCAGTTCCAGTGAATGCTAATCAAACAGCCAAAAAATATGAGGGTTGGGGCTGCCCTACCATACAGCTCTTACGCTCCCCGAATCCTGTGGCTAGACAGAGACTGAGATAATCCCTGGCATAAAGCAACTCGGTTTGGCACTATTCTAACTTATGCCTGGCTGACCATGATCACTGGCCAGAAATTGCTGAGACATAAAACAGCCCTGGCCAGGTCCTGTCTTCTCTGCCACAAACTGGGAAGAGGGTGAGGCTTGGCTGAAGTGCAGTAATTGCCCATTAAATGGATAAAAGAGATTTACAGTCGTTTTTGCACTGCGGGAATGGTTCAAAGCTATCAGATTGAACGGCACCAGCAGGGTCCTAAGGACCATCCTTGGAAGGGGGATTTCTGCTATGAACGGCATGCGAACGTAAGTAGCAAAAAGCCCAAAGGATATGATAATTCCTGACAGAGGGTCAACATCAATTTCTAAATTCTTCTCTAAAACAATACATCTCCATTTCTTCCTTGACCCTAATGGATCAAATGGATTAAATAGTGGGCAAAAAATAGTGTGTGAGCATTTGGGACACATTCCCTAGAGGACTTTAATAGCCAAATAGCAGCTGCAGAGGCCAAAATGGAAGAYGTTCAAAAGGCTGTGGAGCAGTCAAAGTACTTTGTGTTTAGATATTTCTGTTTCAGCCAAAACCAGGCTCTTATGTTTCACAGGTTTGGATTCAAGCTTTGAGCTGAACTGTAATAAGGAACCTCTAAATTTTGCAGAGAAGTAATTTTCTTTCATTGGCCACAAAAGTATTGTGAAAGTATCTATGGAAGTTATCAGCATAAATTGCTATAACCCCTTCTCCYTAACAGAATAATGTTCAGTTTCCACAAATGCAGGAACTGTCAGAGAAGTCAATAAGACGTTGAGTTGTGAAATACAGGATGAGATGACATTTATGCATTTTGCGGCTCTGGTTCAAAAGGCTTCCCATTAGAACATCACAAAAAAAAATAAATGAAGGGCAAAGGAGAGAAAACGATCTAAAGTTATTTTTTGGGGAGTGAGGATTTTTTATGTCTGTCAGTTTTTCCATTGTAGCTGCAGGGGTTTGAACACTGAAAGGGTGGTATATGTCATTATGTTGCTTAGAATCCCTCATGCCATTTTAAGTTTCCTTTCAGTTTAACAAGGAAAAGATAACTGCTTGTGAAGCAATTTACCAAAAGTATATTCAATTTGGACTTTTTAACTGAGAAATTGCAGGAGGGCTGTAAGCTCTTTGGGCCRAGGGATGTATAATTCCACATGCCTATGAAGCTCTCAGCACAGGGTAGCTACTATAATTTGAAGAGTAAGTAAGAATAATTCCTAAAGGAATTTTACATGCTGTTTCCCTAAGACGAGGTGCACAAGATCTCATTTACTTGATGCAACTTTATTGGTCAATCTGAGAGAGGTTTTCCACCTGCTGGCTGCTGTTCCACAATTTCTGTAATTCTGCCCATTATAAATACCAGCTGCTTTTTTTTTGATATCTTTGGTGCCACAGAAATCAGTTTAGTTGTTATCTGGTAGGAAAGCAGAATCTGAACCCGTTAAAATGAAAATGGGTAACTAGTGGATTTTCTGTTAGAACTCTGCCCCCACTTAGTCCTGCCTTTCCCTTTTCCTCATTCGCTCCCAAAGAAAAACCCAGCATGAATTGCAGACAGCTTGTTATGAGGGTTACTTTATGTCACACCGAGCTACCAGGTATTCTTAAAACAGCATCATTACGCAGACTGCAGTTCAAGTGCACACTTGGATTCAAMAATTTCCAGGAAAGCCGGTATGAGGAAGAAAAAGTGAATGAAAACAAGCTGAGGAATGACAGATTGTTTTGGATATGAGCATTTCGTTTCTGGGGCAAATTTTACCCTTAGGTGAAAACAACAAAAAAGTCCAGCTTCAGTTAGCGAGAATTCTACATGCAGGACTGACTGTGTGCACCCCAGATTTTCCTTAGTMCAAGAGTATCCAAAGGTGAGAGCCTCCCCTGAAACAAAAAGCGAGAGCTACTCTACCATCACTGTTCAAACCAAACGAAATGTTTAAACTGTGAGCAGAAGTGCGGGGAAATCGCTTTTCCAGCGTTATTTCTATTTAAATGGCCTTGCAAGTTATCGGCATCAGGGGAAACTCCCTGCTTTCCCTTTCCCTTCCAAAACGTGTGACTTTGCCAGCGTTTCTCGCACTCGGTGACTGAGCAGGCAGCGCCACGTGTCCCCGCAGGACTCGGACCGGGGACAGCCCGAAACAGCCCGGGCGGAGCCCGRACCCCGTCCGGGAGCGCCGGTGGGGACACAGCGAGGGGACACGGGCACGCTCGAACACGGGCACGCTCCCTCCTCACTCGCCAGCTCTCAACACACACGGCGGCCCTCACACACGCGTGCTTCCACACGAACACACGCGTGTCCCCACACGAACAC